ATAAAAACATTTACATAAATAACCGGGTTTTTTTTGGTGTTTGGGGGGGGGGGATGGGGGCCATGGCGACGGGCGGCCCGCTTCCGGGGCGGGGCGTGGCGCGCGGGGGCTGCCGGGAGCGGCATGGCTCGCTAGGCGGCGGCGGCGCGCGGGTGAGCCGGGCGGGGGCCGCCCTGAGGGGACGGGGGGCAGCGCTGAGGGGACGGGAGCGCAGACGGGCACCTGCGAGCGCCCACCCCGCTCTGCCCGCGGCTCTAAGGGCGGCGAGGCGCCGGCAGCCCCCGGCCGGCGGTTTCCGGCCACGCTGCCACTTTGTTCCGTGCTGCTGGTGGCCGTGAGGTGCCTCGTTGAGCTGGTGCGGGGCTCCCTGTTCGGCATTCCCGTTCACACTCCTTCCGCTAGCGCACTGGCACCTTGGCTGTGTTGTTGGAAGTCCGTATTGGGGAAAAAGGAGGAGAGAGGAAGGAATCCGTTGCTCCCCAGGGATGTGGTGGCGGCAGAATCCTGCCAAAGCTCGGTCTGGACATCGCTGCCAGGCCCTTGGCACTGGGGCTCTTGGCACCGTGTCCTGTGTGGGGATGCGAGCTGGACTCGCTGGTGGGACCCCAACGAGCTCGGCCTATTCCGTGATAAGCAGTTGTTTCTCCTCCCGAAGCCCTCGGTGACGCCTTTTTCTCGGCTTTTCCCCCGCTGCAGAATCATGGACCCCAGCTTGCTGAGGGAGCGGGAGCTGTTCAAGAAGAGAGCCCTCTCCACGCCGGCCGTAGAGAAGCGCCCAGCACTCTCCTCCGACTCCTCTGCTTCCAAGAAGAAGAAGGCCAAGGTAGAACAAGGGGGCTCGTCCAGCTCAAAACAAAGCACAGGTGGGTGGAAGTCTCCTGTCCAGCAGCTGCGTGGTTTGTTTTTTGCTTTGCTGCTGTTTGCCCTTAAACCGTGGTTTGTTAATGTGAATAACGCTGTATCTGTGAGTTTTGCTGGTGGCTGTTGTCATTAATTCTCTTCAGTTACCACATTTGTTAAGAAAGTCACTTGCACAGTGTGAAAAACCCATTCCCTGCTGTGCACGTGTGTTAAGCCTCATCCCGTGGCTCCTTTGCTGTTGCTCTGTTGGAGGAATCTCTGCTGCCAAGATTATTGATGTGAAACTGTGCTCTGGATGTGCTTTTGGGAGCTCTTGAGTTTCGGTGCTTACTGGGCAGGCAGTGCCATTCATTTTGTCTGTGTTTGCCGTGTTGGATAGGGCTTGGAAGGTGTCCCTCTGGCAGGGGGTTGGAACTGGGTGTTTTTTAGGCTCCCTTCCTTCCCAACCTGTTCAGTGATTATTTCTGGCAAGAGAGCACCTAAAACTTTTAGGTGACTGTGAGTTGGAGGGTGTTCATACCTGAGAGGGATTTTGCCAGGTGCATCTTGTTTGGTTTGTTGTAATTAGCAGTTGTCCTTGTCTCACCTGGGAGCTAAGCTGTGCTGGTGAGCACCAGGCATTCCAGGGGTTTCTGCCTGATTTACTGAGGAGCTGTGGCATTTCCCTGGCGCTGATAACGAGTCTCTCAGTATCAAATAAACAGTTAATAAAGCAGCACCAAAAATAGTGGGAGTGTGTGGAAAGCGCAGCACCGGGGAGAGGATTTGCTCCAAAAGCAGTGGCAGTTCTCAAGTGCTCTTTAAAGGTCAGATCAAATGCCAGGAGTTACTAAACCACAAAATACCCTGTTGTGCAAACTCAGTCCACGCTCATATTTTTAATAATACCACACGTGGCTCTCTCCTAAACTCCAGGAGAAACAACAGAGCTAAAAACAACAGAGAAAAACGTCAGGGAGCTTGGGAGGAGGGAAGCATCTTCTGTCCCAGGGGAAGAGTTGGGAGTTTGGGTATGTGTCTGCAGCTTCTCAGGCACCAAATGAAGTATCAGCTAGACATTCTAAAATAAATCAAGGGAGGCCAGGTTTCCATCCATCCCTTTTTGACGCTCTCCAAATGAAACAAAATTCTGCGTGGAATATCCTAAGCTGCGTCACTGGGGCGAGCTGGGTTTGCTGGGAAGGAGGGATGGGGAGTCAGGAGGAGGGCAGAGGGTACAAACGTGAGCCTGATCTGGAGGATTTGAGCAGATAAAGAAGGTTTAGTTTTGTTTCTGTGGTTTCTGTGGCCTGAGGGTTTCTTTAAGTGCTTTTGTGGCTGTCAGAAAATTCACTTCTACAAACAGGGACCGAGGAGATAAACTCGATCTTTTATGCCGCTGGCTGCGTTCCAGGCAGTGCCAGAGAGGTTCCAGGCTTTCTCAGCACTTTCATGCTGCAGAGTCAAAATCTACTGCCTCCAAACCCGCTTTTTATTTCACTTGCCAGACTGGCAGATGCCAGTGAGGATATGTGGGGGTCAGAGACAGGAGGTGGAGTGAAAGCCTGATGTTGGGAAATCCCTGTCCCACCGCCCCAAAGAAACAAAAACCGTGCAGTGGCCACAGAGGTGAAAAAGGGAGTCACAGTGTTTGTGTGCTGGCACTGGTAAACTCTGGGTGTGTGGTGCCTCCCTCACTCCGTGGTTCTGTGCTCAGAGAGCCTGCCCTTGACACTTTTTGGGGGAGGAGAGGTATGGAGACCGTGCTGATCTTCGTGAGGCTGCACAGCTAAATCTGGCCTGTCTGTGGAGTCTGGCTGTGAGCTTCCCACTGCTCCTGCAGTGGTTATTACCCAGACATTGCTGTCGTTGTGGCGACAAGTTGTTTGAAAAAATTCAAAGCTGGTTTACTCGGTTCAGAATGGGAACTGGAAAATAAATGAAATGGATCAAGTATGTTTGTTTCATTTTATTAATCAGTAGTAAATTGTGGCTGTGGTCTCTGCCTTAAGACCTTTGTCTCAGTGGTCTCTGCCAACAGTTGTCAAGAGCTGGAATCTTCAGGGGCTCTTTCAGGGGAAAGAATCATCCTGAGTCTTCCCTGGTACTGTGCAGGGGGACACCTTTTCCTTCTGTTCCTTCTGTTCCTTGTGCCCACACCCCTTCCCCTTTGTAGACCTGTGAAATAAAAAGCTGGGATGAGTCCCAACATATGTCATTCCATGTGCTTCTCAGGAAGGCATTGCCAGAGCAGCAGAGGATGGCATGCTGCACACACTGCCCTCTTGTGTGCAGCCATGATGGGCATTTTGTGGGAATGCTGCAAGTGTCCAGAGCATTTCCTTTTAGGAGAGAGACAGGATTTAATTCCGTGCATCCTGATGGCTACTCTGGCCTCTGGAGCAGGGCTTCCCAGTGTGATGCTGTCACACAGCAGAAGGTGACGTGCCATCCTTATCACCACTGGCATTGTCTTCATCATACATCTCAGTGTGAGTCCTGAATGATCTCAGGGCACTGGCTTCCATCACTTGTGCTTTTGATTTTGAGCTTGCAGCATTCTCTGCTCGGGAAACTTGACTGTGAAAAGTGTGTCTGTGGGGATTTGTGACTGCAGGAGGGGAGTTTGCTTCTCCAGGTGAATCTCTGGACTAGCTCTGCTAGTTCATCCTGCCCTGGGTGTCTCCTCCTCGTGACTCCACCTCAGCCAGGAGCAGCACGTGTCAATTAGCAAGTCTTCCACTGTGTCCAGATCTTCTGGAGTTTAGTCATGCTCAGCCTGAGATGGGGATTTGATATATGTGAGAAAAGGGATCATTATAGGTACTGGCCATAGCACCAAGGTTTTTTGGACATGGAGGGACTGTGAGGTGTTTCGTTTCCTTCATGACAGGAATGTTTTCTGGGGTTAATTCAGTTAAATAACTTGTCCCACATGTAGCTTTGCTCTGGGACATTTCTGTGGGGGCTCAGGAGTGTGAAGCACTTGCCAGGAGCTACTGATGGCTACACTGTTGGACAACTGTTAGTTTGTAACTGCAAAACTTAAAATGGTTTTAAAAATCACGGGCACAGCCCAGCTGCAGAGGGCTGGTGAGCCAGGGGTGTGAGAGTTCCATGGCCAGGACATGAGCACGGGGTGAGTGTGAACTCTGGGATGTGTCAGCAGGCAGGTGAAGTCAAGTGAGGTGAGTCAAGTGAGATTCTCTTGTGCAAAGTGCTGAAAGCTGCACCTGGGCTGGGTGCCATCCCCCTCTTCAGTGTGGGAGGTCTGTGGCCCATCTCCCTCAGAACTCCACCAGTTCCAGTTTGCCTTTGAAAGTCTGGGGTAGGGATGGTAGATGTAGTGTGGTGGTTGCCACAGAAGCAGCGGCCTTGGGGCAGAGAATTGGCCCTGTTCATTCCCAGCAGGATTTTTGGAAAGGGTCACATATTCTGAAGGTAGGGGGTTATGCAGGTGTCAACACACAGAAACTGTTGGCCAGACTGCATATGAACTAAGGGCAGAAGAGTTCCCTAGAACTGGAAAAGTAGGGGAAGAAAGGGTCAAAGTAGCCTTTTAGGAGGGCTAGAGAAGACCATTTTAGGAATACATTCCTTGTTGGCTTAGTCTTCCTCCCACCACCCTCTGTTCTAAAAGCAAGAAACCCCTAATAAAAAGTGCTGCCAAAGGCTAGAACGCACCCAATCCTCTCCTGCCTGAAGGGTCTCTTGCCCTTCAACCCTCCTGCCCCAGCTTTTTTCTTACCCCTTGTCTGTCTGTCCTGTCCCTGTGTGGTTGACTCGGTGGGACAGCACTGCTGAATATGATCAGCCTGTTGGACATTTTATAAATGCTTTCTTCAGTTAAGCAACACAGTTTTATGCATGTTAGGCAGCATTTGTTGGGTCAGGTAGACAAAATCCTATGCTAGTCACTCAATATAAACAGCAAAAGTTCATCTAAAAACAACAATTGTCTTCCCTCCCATAACACTGCTTTCTGCTAAGCATTTGGAAAGCCTTTGCCAATTATTCCAGCTCGCATCCAGAGATAACATTGCCGCCGTGGATATTTAAGTCCAAAAGAAAAAAGCACATGACTTGCTCGTTTGTAAGGTACAGGAGGCTTCATTCCAGGTGCCAGACCAAGTTCTCCAAGTGCAGGTGCTCCGTGCTTCCTACACCACCTCCGTGTCACGCTTCCTGAAGCTGTTCAGCATTGCTCTGACGGGATTGGGCTCGTTCTCCAAGTCTTTCACGGTTTTGTTTTTCACGCAGCAGCAGCAGTCCAGCAGTTCATACAGGAAAGCCAACACCACCAGAGAAACTACAGTGAAGATGAATATGATCAGGATGACAAAGCAGGCAGTGTTCCAGTTGTCGTGGAAAGGGTAAATTTTTTGCACTTGGAAGCCCAGATACTGGGAAATGGATGTAGTAGTCTCATTCCAGTGGGTGCTGTTGAGGGTTGCCATGCTTGAAGAGCTGTCTGAGTGTGCTCACTGGCACAGATTTGGGAGCTGAAACACAAAAACAAAGCTGTTGAGGACTCTGTCAGTCAAGGACACGCTGTGATAGTTATCACAAATTGGAGCTACTTAAATTCAGACTAAATGCTCAAAGTTTCTGCTAACATGGATTGTTGCATACTCATATTTGCTCACCAAAATATCAAACTCCAGATGTTGTATAAGTCTGTGATAGACCTGGAACATTTATTTTGGCAGTGTCTGGTTCATGCAGGCATCATGTGGTGTATGTGATTCAGGAATGAGAGAGCTTTGCTTCTTTATTTCAATTATATGCACAGACAGAAAGCTTACAAACTAGATTTTCAAGGTGTGCCGTGGTTTCCACCACCTGTGCATCGTCAGCCTTGGGGCTGCCACTTGTGTGGTGTGAAATGCCTTGTAATTTTGGAATTCCCTGTCAGCACACACTTGTTCACCTGCAAAACTCTCTGGCCTTCAGCAGGGCAGATTGTTCATTCCCTGCTCTTCCACTGCTGAATAGCTTGTGCTGGAGAAATTTGGCTGCCCAGATGGCACTGGGAGCGTTTGGGAATCTTCTTTGTGGTGCCATAAGTCATTGAGGTGGATAACCAGGAAAACCCAACCCTTTCTGAGGAGTTCTTACTTCTTATTTTCAACTCTGCCTGAGCCTGGGTTGGCCCCCAGCAGAGGAAGAGGCTGCTCTGTGGTGTGGGGGGAGATGAAGCAAGAAGCTGACTCCAGAAAATCTGCCTTTGCTCAATAGTCTAATGCAATAAAAATTGTCCAAGGAGCTGCTTGAACTTCTGGTTATCTGCTGTGGCTGTAGGATGTGGTAATAACCTTTGAATCCCTCAGGCAATTTAAAACTGGGTGTGGGAGGAGGAGATCAAGGCAGGTCTCCATCTTTCCTTGAGGAAATAGGGAGTTTTTAGGTGGAACATGGTGGTGATGGTGTCTACTAAAGCAGTCTGAGCACCTGTCCTTATTTCTGTGAAGTTACTAAAGAAAAGGATATGGTGAAAACCAGGATCATGCTGCCAAACCAGCTTGTGATCTATGTCTGATTTTTATTGTTCTAATATTATGTTATACATTTTGTTCTTTATCTTTTTATCTTCAATGGGTTTAAATTGAAAAAAAAGAGCTTTGTTGTTGGGAAGGTCCCTGGCATTAGTGTTCCACACAGACATTTACTGGAGCAGTTGCAGTAACTTACTGTTTCCTCTGTTAAATCTGTAGCTGAGTACACAAATTGAATATACAGTGTATGGCTGAGGTGGATGGGATTAATTAAATTGTTGGTGGTTTGTTTTTTTTTTTTTTTTTTCCTTAAACAAAAGTTTACAGAGCAAATCCAAACTAAAAATACTCCTGGCTTGAGTCAGGTCCTGGCTTCAAGAGAGTGGCTTGATTTGGTCAAGGTGTGGGAAGGAAACTCAGCCAACCTGTTGTGGGGCTAAAAGTCATGAGGGTTTTTGAAGGGGTGGCTTGAAGACTTATTTCAAAATAATCCATGAGAGAAAGGGAGAGGGGGGAGCTGAATAAAAGGATTTGGAGTTGCCTTTGAGGAGTAGTTAAAATAAGCAGGGTTTAATTGTGTGTTTTAAATGGCAAGAGGGTACCTTTGGGAAAGAAAGGAGTTTTGTTTTGAACTTTGTAAACAGATTTCTAGGACTGAGGGTTTTGTTGGAATCTGTTACACATAAGTTTGCTCGCTCTGTAAACACCAGGCACAAAACCAGACCTTTTCTGTGATGCAAAATTTAGTAATTTTTGGTGTCTTTCTCTCATTTATACTGCTCAAAGTGATGGAGATCTGTGGCCACTGGAGGGATTGGTCAGATCTGCTCCGTGTAGCCAGGACCCTTTGGCAGCACAGCTCTCTGCCAAGGCAGTAGCTCTGCTTCCAAGAGGAGAGGAGCAACTTGGGCACGGAATGGCCAGGCAGGAGCTGTGCTGGCAGCACGGCACAGTGCAGCAGCCATTCCCTTCCTGTTCCAAAAGCTCCATCAGGGCAGCCATTCCCTTCCCACTGCACAGCCAGCCCCTTCCCACTGCACAGGCTCCATCAGGGCAGCCATTCCCTTCCCACTGCACAGCCAGCCCCTTCCCACTGCACAGGCTCCATCAGGGCAGCCATTCCCATCCCACTGCACAGCCAGCCCCTTCCCACTGCACAGGCTCCACAGGCTCCATCAGGGCAGCCATTCCCATTCCACTGCACAGGCTCCATCAGGGCAGCCATTCCCTCCCCACTGCGCAGCCATTCCCTCCTCACTGCGCAGCCATTCCCTCCCCACTGCCCAGCCATTCCCTTCCCACTCCACAGCCATTCCCTCCCCACTCCAAAACTCCATCAGGGCAGCCATTCCCTTCCCACTCCACAGCCACCAATTGGGGCAGCGGTTTGCACAGTGGAGAGATGTTTGTCTTTTTGCCAGGAGGTGGAATTTAATGCCCCTTGAAGAGGAGGATGATGATCTCCTTAGATTTGAACAGGGAGAGGCAGATAAAGATCAGCTGCTCTTTGTAATTATTGAAATACGAGGCTGAGGTAGCTGCTGCTGACTGTTCAGAATTAAAAGAGCACTAATGAGGTTAGTGTCCTTGAAAGCTGTCAAAAATGGGCTGGTTTCCTGCAGTTTTGCTTGTTTTGTAACGGCACAGGTCAGATTAGTATCATCAGCCAATCTGATTTGCAATCAAGTCAGCAGTTGTACGTATCCAAAATGCAGCGAGTTAAATATTTAATGTACTAGGTTTTAATTTAAAAGCATTAGCATCTTTGGGCACTGCAGAGGAGCAGCTTTATTTGAAAAATAAAGCAGAGGGAAATGACTGGCAGAAAATCCTTTTAATGCAGCCCTGAGGAAGCCCTGGTTAAGAAAGCACTGAGCAGGCATCTCGGGGTAAAAGCATTTACAAATCTCAGGTGCTTTCTAACCCGGCTGTTTGCCTTGTATCCATGGCTGCTCCAGTGTTTCCAAAGGGAACAGCGAGGCAGAGGGATTTTCTCCCTGCCCAGTGTATACCATGTTTCTAGAACAGGTTTCTCCCCCCACACACACACAGATCTCTTTTAGGCAGCCTAATTTACGGAATACCCCCTGGGAGGTAAGGCTGCTCACATTTCAGCTGGAGCTGTCTTTGTTTTAAGGAAAACCCTTTCGCTGTCATTTCTGTGAAAACACACAGAATCAATCACCAGGAGCGTGAGGCTGCAGGAAACCAGCCACCTCCCCTGCAAGGACGAAATCCATTTTGTTTACTGAATCTTGGCTTGTTGTGTTAGCTCTGCTGTAAGATGGAGTGGTCATCAATTTTCCATTAGTGCACAGATGGTGAAAGTGCTCGTCTGATCGTGCAAGACAAGCTCCTCCGCCTTCAGCGGGATAAACCCTGCTCAGCCCAGAGAAAAATCATTCTGATTCCCAGAAGCTTTTACAGGTTCTCAGCTTACAGGCATATTTTCTTTCAGTAATCAAGATAAACCTCAGAGAATGTTATAAAATGATACACACCTACCTCTTGTGTGAAAGGATGCTGAGAGAGCGCCGTTCTGGTCCCTTTTTTTAGTGCAGCCTATGGCACAGCTAAGATGGAGCTTTCCTTCCATTGGCCAGAGCACGATGCTGCTGACAACTTCCTTTGTGCTCATTTGCATCGAGCCCTCAACCCCAGGAGTAAATCATTCATAAGTGTGGCTATGTCTGGAATGAGAAGCAAACGCCTCGCTGTTCTTGTTTTTTGGGGTGGGATGAGCTGGTTAGCAGAGCAGCGCGCTCGCTGGCCACGACCCCGCTCTGCTTTGTGCTGGGATCAGCCGTCAAACCCTGTGAGCTGGTTAGCAGAGCAGCGCGCTCGTTGGCCACGTTTGAAGTGTTAGGATCTGCAGATTTCCAGCCTCAGCGTGTGGTTAGATTCTCTTGTCATGGACTGCAGCAAGCAGGCAGATTAAACCAGATAATCTTCCTGATTCAGTTCAAATCTGACGGAACAAAAACGTGATAAGTTGTCTTAACTGTTTGTTGTACCACTGAATTTATTTTGGTCACTTCAGACCTCTCATTACATCTATGATTTTTCTAGTTACTTATAAAATGTCCTACATGGACATTAATTTTTAATCTTACAAGGGAACCCTGTAGGGGTAAATCCCTACGGGCCACATCTTCAGGGGGGAGCTGGCTTTTGATTTTCCTGCTTTTAACTTAGTAACCAGAATAAAATATTCTTCTGTAGCTGGAGTTACACTGATATTTCTGTGTTAATTTTAGAATCGTTGTGCTGTGTAAAGCCTTTAAAATGATGTAATGTAACAGCTTCACAATTCTCTTCTTTTCTCTTGCTTCACTGATTTTTCCACAGAAACAATAGGAGCTCCATATCTCTGAGATAACTGTTGTCCTGTCAGAAGTGCTTAGAAATCACCAGAGGATTAAACAATCCCCATGGTGACAAAGAGATGGTGCTCTTCTTCTGGAGTAGCTAAAATTCCAGAAAACTGTTGCCGTTAGGTTTTGAGCAATGTTGTGCTGGTAATGAGCCTGTGGCTTGTGATAGTGGTTTGTGGATGTTTGTGTTTAATGTGCTGTGCTAAGAGCTGACGTTAATGAAGTGGTCATTAACAACCCTGCAAGAACTTTTGAAACAAAATGATAGCAAACCTCATGCTAAAGCCAGCCAGAGTTGACAGCAGAGGGGGTTCTGAGTTATTGTTCCAGTGGTGCAACACACCAGGTTGAATTGGTTTGCATTTGTATGGCTCTGTTTAATAAATTCTCCACTGGAGCTACTTGAAACAATAATTTTTAAAAAAATCACAGCCTTCCTCTACCTGCTGTGTAACCACTGAGTGCCTTTGGGGAAGAAGGGAAGCTTTGTGCCCCCGTCTCAGCAGCAGGAAGAGATTGGTGGAGCAAGTGCAGTGCATTATTTCAGCGTGGATTCAAGTAGTGTAAATGATTATGGGATGTTAAGGCACCAAATTAAACGTGTTCTCTTGTGGCAGGAACTCTGCAGCCACTTGCTGCTTTCTTAACTTTTTTTATTTGTGGAGTTCTGCTGAGAAATGTTCCAGAGCTGTGTCCTCTGAGTCCCTGGGTGTGGATCAAGATGTGTGCAAGGGCTCACCTGAGGGTGGCTGCTTCTGCCACTCCTGTTTCTGTCCACAGCTGTCGATTCAAAAGCTGCTGGAAGCAGAGGGAGAACGTGATGGAGCTCAGAGCCAACAGGAAGCTATCAAAGCACCCTCTAATTGTTTGTTTTCTTTCTTTGTAGATCACAGCAATGGATCATTTAACTTGAAAGCCCTTTCAGGGGGCTCTGGCTACAAGTTTGGAGTCCTTGCTAAAATAGTGAATTATATGAAGGTATGGTGTTTTGGTGTAAAATAACACTGGTTTTAAATACTTAAATTATTTCTTGTCTTGTAGTAGCTGGAAAATGCTGAATGTTTCAACCTCTGAAATTCTTTTACTGCAAGGCTGAGAATTTCAAGAAACTGCTTGTTAAATTCAAAGTGCTTCAGTAAATGAAATTGTCAGCATATTGTTCCATAACAATAACAGTTGTTCCTGATTATCCCAGGTCACTTTACAACCAAGATAATGGGGTTTATTTGCAGGAATTTCAAGATGCTGTCAGGTTTTGGGATTCATGGGCTAGTGATCAATATAAAGTGTAATTTGGTGCCAATCTCAGTTACTTTTTGGTGCCTGAGTTGCTGAATAGAGTGAGTACAGAACTGTAAGAGATCCTGTTTGCTTTTTCAGACCCGGCATCAGCGTGGTGATACACATCCATTAACCCTGGAGGAGATACTGGATGAAACACAGCATTTAGATATTGGACTCAAGCAGAAACAATGGTTAATGAGCGAGGTAAAGAAAACACATGTTCAGATTTCCATTAAGGAATTCTGACAAACCTGGATTACACACATTTGTTAAATTATTCAGTATGTAATCCCTCCTTCAAGAAACTACTCAGTCAGACTGTAACATTCCTTGATGGCAGCACTGCAGTGTTGGTTGTGGGGAAAACTTGACTTTACTGAAGTCTTTCAAAAGGTAGCTCCAGGCATCTTCCACAATGAACCAGAATATCAGAATGGAATGGAAGAGCTCCTCCCAAGAAGCGTATATAAAATAATCACTGAGCTTTTGCTAGATGAGAAAAGGTAAACAAATACCCTGTAGCACCAAAGTTGAGTCCCTTCTCTCTTAAGAGGTGCTCTGTGTTGTGGTGAGTTATGCCTAGGCTGGTGGGTCTAGGATCCAAGGATTTAGAATCTGTTTGAACTCAAAGCTCCATCCTGGCAGCTGTAACGTGTGGTTCATGTGCTCAAAAGCACAGCAGGAAGAGAGTAGTAAGTGTCTGCACTGTTTCAGGGCTTGAAATTTCTGTCCCTGTTACAGGCTCTAGTCAACAACCCGAAAATAGAAGTTGTGGATGGGAAGTATGCCTTCAAACCCAAGTACAACTTGAAAGACAAAAAGGCTCTGCTCAGGCTCCTGGACAAGCACGACCAGCGAGGGCTGGGAGGAATCCTTCTGGAAGACATCGAGGAAGGGCTGCCCAATGCACAGAAAGCCATAAAGGTGAGGAACACCTGGCTGCAGTTCAGCTTTCAGAGAGAAGAGAGGCACTAAGAGTCTTCTCATGAGCCATTTCTGTTGTTTTGATAACTCAGAAGCCATTTCAGCAGATCTGATGTTGTGGCCTTCTCTGTATTTCATCCTGATGTTCAGATTTGCCCTGGTGTCTCAGCACAGCTCTCAGACAAAAGACTCCTGATCTCCCACATTCCAACTAAGGCATTTAGTTCTGCTTTCACACCTTGACCTCAGTCCTCTGAATCTCATTTTTGATTTATTAGTGTACCCATGTGTTTCATGGCCAGTTACTCTGCAGCTTCTCCGGTTTGTTGTTGCTTTTGTTAGCACAAGGTCTGGCTCTGTTGGAGTTGGAGACCTTCACCTTGGAAACAAAGTGATTTTGAGCTGTTGTTTTGCATTTGTTTTTGAGGCTTTAGGGGACCAGATCATCTTCGTTAATCGCCCTGATAAGAAGAAAATTCTTTTCTACAATGACAAGAGCTGTCACTTTGCTGTGGACGAAGGTAGGTGTTGTTTCACGTGGGTCTCCATGACAGTTGATCTGAATTCACCTTAAGCACCTCTGTGTATAAGCAGCCTTCAGGCAGAGCAGTTTTTTTGGGATGTAGTGAATACAACTAGGAGGAGAGCACAGACCTGGGGCAGTGCTGCTGCCCAGGGCTGGAGTGGATTTGGGGCTGCACAAGTTCAGCGTGTTTGCTGTGCCACAAGTAGTGGTAAAATCCTCTGGTGTCATTTTTTGCACAGAAATCAATTACAGAAATCAGGGTGTGTTCCAGTAAGGACATAAATGCCAACATCAGGTGTCTGTAAATGCAGAAAGGGGAAGGCAATCTGTGTCAGAAGATCTTATTTTGAATGACTCAGTAACACTGAACACTTTCTTTTTTTAATGTATTGTTCTTGTAACATGACACATAAAGCCATTGCATCACAGAGCATCACATAATGTATGGTAAAAAAAAAAAGAGTTTTGTTACAAATTTGAACTGCTCTACTTAAAGGACCACAGGAAACAGTAACACTGAACACTTTCTTTTTTTAATGTATTGTTCTTGTAACATGACACGTGAAGCCATTGCATCACACAGCATCACATTATGTACGGTAAAAAAAAAGTTTTGATACAAATTTGAACTGCTCTACTTAAAGAACCACAAGAGGATGCATAAAGATCTTTCTTTCTTTGCCTACCTCCAAGGGAATCTTAATTTCCAAAACAATTTAGCAACTGAAGATGTGTATCATTAGCTATTTGTTATGTACTGAGAGTACACACTTGTAATCTCAGTAATAATAGCTTTGTTTCACAAGGGTGATTAAGTAGAGTTGACATCTACAGCATTTAAAAATATGAAAATATCCCAAAAGATTGAAGTGAATTTCTTTTTAAACTATGCCTTCTGTAATTTCTTGGTAGGGGCAGTGAAACTATATGCAAAATGCAGAATGGATTCACTGGGGAATTTCTGATTTCCAAATGTTTAGGAGTTTACCATGAACCCTGTCCTTCTGTTGAGGTAGTGGCTCTTCAGTCCATCAGCCCACAGTTTTTGGGGGCCTGAACATGGCCAAAACATTTAGAAATCAGTGCTCTTGCTGTAACTTTTGAGACAGAGCTTTTAAGTTTTAGCCACTGGTTGTATCATAGTCATGTTGCTAAATGAATGTTTTTTCTTGTGCAATTCTTTCCAGATAGCAGGAACCCCACCATACTAAAGGAGTTATCAGAGGGAGCTCTCTACCCCGTTGCTATTAGCTTGTAATAACTCCAGGATTAGCTGTGAAATTTCATAACAGAGCCCATTTTGTTAAGATGTAGACAGAGGCATCAGGCAGCCAGGATAAATTCCGGGCTCCTCTTACACAAGATGTGTTGTAGCACACCCGTGATGAGCAAGCAATGCGAGCTGTTGCTGCCAGAGGCAGGACGAGGTTAAAAAGCCCCTTTAAAACGCCTGGCCTCCTGCTGAAGGAAGGCATTTCAGC